CGAAAAGGCGCAACCAAATGGGCTGTGGATATGAGGTCCGGATATTCACACTGAAGCCCGCCCTGTAATCTGATTATAGCCGCCAGTGGTAGACGGGCGTCTCTTTGGTCGCTTTTACCGCTTCGTTAGGTCTCGTCCATCGTGTGTCCCGGTGGTGGATAAAGATAATAACCAGCGTACCTGCAAACAATAATCGCCGTGTTCAAGACGTTCTGCCATTTCAGCACTGCAATTTCTGGTCGGTATCCAGTTCGGGATTCAACAGGGCCGCGTAACATCGCCTATTATGTTGAAATACGTCATTGGCGTCTTCCTCGTGAAGGGCACCTACGTGGCCTGGGCGATGTCGAGTTCGCAGCTGGATGTCGGCTAACTGACCTCGACTACTTTGATTATGCATTCTTGCTAGCTTCGAGCTTTGGCGATTTAATATCTATGGGATCACGGGAGATTGACGTCGCGAAATTCCTAGGTTAGCGACTGGGTTAAACTTTCCAGATTGCTTGTTGTGGATCGTCACTCGTGGAGGAGTACAATCCGTGACATGATCAGGGCCGATTAGATCAAACATGATCATATTACAAGTAAGGTGTATAGCACAAGCTGTTCATAGGCGGCCAATCAGATTCGCGATATAGGCGTCGAATTTGGTTAATCAGTTGGCTCGTACTTCAAGCGAGCTGAGTAGTTTGGAAAGGTCATGACTGCTATGACACGTCTTTATAGAAGCAAGTGTTTTGACGATTACGAAGGCAAATCTTTGCAGGCAAGCCCCGCTTTTGTCGGACGCGTTGCTTTTGGCCACTAACTCACGAAAACAGTGTTATTGAGACCACCTTCGTAATTCCAATTGTTTGGGGCTAAAGGTCTAGTTGATGATAAATCAAATAATTACCACAAACGGACCGCAGGAATACGTTTGCTTTTTTAATGCCTTGAGTCAACCGGTCTTTCGGTTGACATCCTATAGTCCCAGCTCTCTTAAGCCCCTGGTTTTAAATACGTGGGCTACGAAATATTGGCAGCTTACTGTGGCATTATTCTCAGTTATAAGCGCTTATAGACCTTTCATTTCGTTAGAGCCAACGGTAGTCTATGTTCCTTTATTAGCGGCAGAATGGAGACCATTCTGCGCTTCAGCCAAGCGAATGTGGAAAAATGCAAGCCAGCTAGCGAATTCAATATTTGCGTAGGTGAATGCTAACAAAAAGGCTCATCAGTTTTTAATCATTGCATGCTCGGGACATTTGGGTGCGTTAGTATTGCGGAAACCGAGTTCCTTAAGGGTCTAACCTGCTCTTGTTTGCTTTTTTTTTTACCACGCAACCGACATGAATTCCCAGCGCCCATGAGTAAGTAGCGGCTGTTGCGACAATTTACGGGTGCCGAGTTTTGAGTCAACTCACAGGTTACTCAACCTTTCTTGCGACTGGAAACCCTGTCTCCTCGAACGCGAACTCATGATCTTGGCTGCTCCAAAGAATCTTACACTGGGGTACGCATAATTTATTTGTACTGGTACCACGTTTTCAGCTGCTCGTAGTTGAACATGTTTTCATAGCCTTCCACCCTGGACTCGCACTGGCCAGTCCTCACCAACTAAATTGTTTTCGGCGATGCTATACAATTACAATCGATCCAAGTGTGATTAAACTCACTGTGTGAAGCGCGACATTCGTAGCTCAAGTGGGTAGAGCGTTGGCTTGGCTAAAAGGCCATCCTGTGAGGTTCGAATCCCGCCGAATGCCGCGATTTTTTCACAATTTTGCGTCAGCTGCACGCGCGATTTGCAACATAACTATCACGCCTCGTAGGGTGTCTGAAGGACGACACAGGTCAAATATGGAGAGAGGGCGTTTAGTGCGCTAATAAGTTGTAGTGATAATATACATTCGTGTGCTTGAGAAACTCAGACCTATTATGGTCAAATCATTTCATACAAAAGACGTTTGTACGGGAGTTTCGTTAAGCGGAGTACCCGAAATCAGTAGTCGGTACTGTCAACAGGGCTGCAATAACTCTGGGAGGGGTGTCTGGCTTATCTGCGATTGACGGCTAGTCTGTTGCCTCTTTCGGGCCGACAACCCCGGAAAGTTGGCCACTTAACCCTGACGTATTAGTTGGATCGCTGACTTACTTCTTGTCTGCTCCAGTTGGCAGTGATCGGACTCGATTACGGCAAATAGGCCAGAGGATTCCTTATTTTCCTGCATTCGTGTCCGTAATACGTCCCGATCATTAATTTGTGTTCATGCTCAGTGAAGGATACTTCTGCGTAAAAGAACGTCCTCAATAGCTGTTGACCGAGTTTGGGGCCTTGGCTCATACAATAAAACGTTGACTCAGGGGCCAGCTTGATCTCATTTTAAATTCCAGATATTCCCATACTAGGTTCTCAGTTTATCTGACTAACGACAGGTAGATCAAAAACTGTTATTTCATTCTTTCTTGCTTTTGCCATTAATATTTGACAAGAATTGGTCTGGCGGGGCACAGCATATTGTGAGTTTCTTTTCCGGAATGATGGATGTGACCTATGTCGATAGTAAGGTTACTAAGACACACTGTCTGTATAGAAAACCGGCAGGGTGGGTACTTCAGAACCTTTCGGATTTTGTTTATATACAACCATTTTTTAATGTGTTAGAATGTCACGGTTGAATCAATTCTTACTGCCATTCTTCGAAGCATTTGGAACTTTAAGTGTGAAACTTTGTTCCTGTCGCATACAGATGATGGCCTGCAAGCACCTGCAGCTTACTAGCCGTGGCATGTTATCATTGGTTAGTGGCGACGATTCGCACCCATTTACCTCAAGATTAAATTTGGCGGCCTGAGCGCGAATGTACAATTTTGCAGTTGGCTAAAGAGTACTAAGAGGTATGCCAAGCCTGGGATTTAGGCTCCAAACCAGCGATATCAAGGATGGAGTTTATAAGTGCCAGCTAGTCGAATATTTGCAGCTACGTTTAGTTTATCGGTGAGGTTCCCGATCTTCCCCTCTTAAACCAGCACTTGTGCAAGATCTGCTACACTGTGATGACGTGGGCGAACAGAATACGCTGTTGAGTGGATGACCTCAGTACAGAACGCAATCAAGTTGGGATCGTGAGGATATTTACCTACTTTGACGTTCTCACACTTGTCTGAATTGAAAATAATAATGATACGATACGCAATCTTGAAGCTCCTCCCCCGATAACTGGTGATAGACCGAGGCCAACTTAGTCAGTCGCC